TGTCGTGATTGTATGCACATATACGTGGATAAATTAATGGAAGGTGGGTCGGAAAGACGCGCACAAGGAGTGGTGTCTCTCCGTGGGTGCATGATGGGTTTGATGATGACAAAGGAGAAAATGTAAATAATAAAACAGGGGGGATTCTTTAACTGAGGATTATGATCCACGCCATCCTCAGCACGTATCCGATGCGTAAATACGTCTATATTTGGATGTCCTAAGGGTGTGTGTATTAATTTGGTGGTACAAAAAGAGGTCTGATCCTTTTACAACCACAGAGGTTAACTCTACGGACTCAGTGTCAAATGTGAAAATCCTCAGAGATAAAAGTGAAGTCTTGCCTTCTCCCTTCTCACCTTGTCCGATCTGAAAGAGGTAACCGCTGTTCCCGGTTTGAAGATCTGTGTGTGTTTCATCCTCCTCCCTGAAATGGGCCTGCACTGCACATCTTATACAACTTGCTTGTTTCCCCTTCATTCTTTTCAGCAGCGGCCATACTCGGGTGCTGTATCAGTCACAGTCTTTTGTTTCTTCGTTTCTAACCATTGGGAGATTCTCTAGTGGCCTTTCTGCTCTTGGTTTCCAGCTTGTTTCCACTGTGGACACAGAGCATGCTCTATATGGCTTCTGCCCTGTGCAATTTGTTGAGACCCACTTTATGGCCAGCCTTTGTTAATTTCTGTAACTGTTCTACGTATGTTTAAAAGAATGTGCACTCTGGCTGTTGGTGCAATGCTCTCTATGAAAGTCATTTGGGGTGAGTTTGTTAATTTTGCAGGTCGGATACTCTGAATCTGCCCTGATATTTTTTGTCTGCTTGTGTGGAAATCACTGAGATAGCAATGTTACATCTTCCACAGTGATTACAATTTTCACCCTGTAGTGTGTCACATTTTGAGGCTCTTTCATCGTGTGCACGCAAAATTCAGATGGTTGGAACTCTTAGTTTAAGGAAATGATGCTCTTTGTCTAGTAATTATTTGGCTTTTATTTCTTTTTTGCTCAGTATTACTAGCGCTCACTCTGCACGTTATGTCTTTTTCCACCCTTTTATTTTTGACCTTTCTATACCCTTATGTTTAAGTGTGGCTTCTGAATTTGCATGTAGTTGGGTTTTTAAAAATCTACTCTAGCAATCTTTATATTTAAACTAGCGTGTGGTGTCCATTTCATTTTAGTGTAAATTCTGGCACATTTTGGTTTAAATCTACACCTTATCATGGATTTAACACTGCATCATCCAATCCGTTTCTTTTCTCTCTTTCCCTGCATTCCTTTGGATCAATTTGTGCTTTTCCTGAATGTGTTTCTCCTGGAGTGATGTGACCATCACCCACAGCTGATTCTGTTTCTCCTGGAGTGGGGTGACCGTCACCCACAGCTGATTCTGTTTCTCCTGGAGTGGTGTGACCGTCACCCACAGATGATTCTGTTTCTCCCTGGAGTG